CCTACGCCAGAAGACCTCCTATGCATCCAAGATACCCATCACCCAACATAAGATGGAAAGGGAAAAAATGATAGTGCTGTTTATCACACTAAATCTTGAAACAAGTCAAGATGCCCGGGTGCTGATAGCAAGGATGCTGCATGCAGTGGTAAGTATCCTGCAGCTGTAAAATAAAGCAACTTAAAAGCTTGGTGAATAGCAAATCTCAGGGCATTCTGAATTGTGACCTGTACCAATGTGGTATTTGGCACTATTTTAGGACTGGTGGCTTTAGGAAGTGCTGGTTGGTTGGCAGCAAATTTTTGTAACTTTTCAAGATTCTTGTGACAGGGAGATACCTACAAAAAATACACCATTTACTGCTTGACATCAAAAGAATAAATAAAAGATGAGCAATATATATTTTATGCATAAAGAGAGCCTACTCAAAAATACGGAGTCTGTTTCTGGCCTGCAGTGGGGGGAAGAATGGGTGAGTATCACCATCTCTGAGATAATGATCCCTGGATAACCCTATGGAAAAGACATACTTGGAGGTGTTTGTATAGCCAACCCTTATTGAACATTATTCAAATAACTGCTTTGATTCCATAGGGCTTATTTGTAAACAAGCCTTCTGTAGGGTAACTATGACTGAGGGGAGTGGTGCTTTAACCTAAACTTCTGGAAGTCATTAGGAGCCTCTTATAGCAGACAGATTCCGTTCTGACCCACATCAAATTCCAGTTAAATAAGGTTGTCAGCATGATGATTTTCAGCTGGATGTAGCATACAGTTCACCAGCATCAGACAGTTAACAGGTATTTAAATTTCTATTCAGTTGCCTAGTACAGCAAATGCTTTAATCGGGCAGGTTTCTTTAGTAAAAAACATGGATCCCTTCTAAGCTCTAGTAGTATTTATCCTGCATTCCACCACTCTGGAAGTGAGCGCTGAATGCCTACATTGGTATATATATGAATTGGACATCTCTATTCATACTAATACAATGAAGATGTACACATGCACAAATCAAAGTAGCTTTTTAACTGAATGGATAATTATGCCACAGGGAAGAAGTTAAGTTCATCTTGTAATTTGTGACAGTTGCACTTACACAAAACTCAGTTCTTGGAGTAGCAATGAGACCAATCGTCACCAACAAAACAATTCTGCTTGTAGAGTGCAAGCAAACACTTAAAGCAAAAATTTAATCAGCCTTTCTTGGTAGACAGATTCTCTTCATGTGCCCTGGGAGGTCTTAAAACAAGGCCATTGAAAATCCATGTCCTTGGAGAAGAGGTTCACAGAAAAAGCTTCAGAACCAACGAGAAATGTCTACTGAGGAGGTGCAGCCAGACTCAGTCAGATATTCTGCGGCAATACACGAAGCAGAACCGTGGTACAGACCCCACGTGGATTTAAGAGGATGTTGCACAGCCATATGCTACACAAATGTTCAAAAAAGACATCCATCCGCCCCCAGCACAGAAGGGAGTGAGTTAGTGGAGCAGCTTCTCCCACATATGCACGAAGGCAAGTAGACACGTACAGAGGGAATAGTGTTGTACTTTCCAAAGAACACAAAGGTTGATTAAGCCTTGTTGGAAATGCGGATAAAACAGAAGGAGAAAATAATCTTATGTGCTTTAATTTCTCACTATTTTCTCTTTTTGCCAGAAACTGAATCAGTGTAATAGCAAGTTTTGCTTTTCTGCTTCTAGAGCAAAATGCTGACTGTCCAAACAGAGGTTTTTATTCGTTACGAAGTTCTTGTCCTGCGTTCTAGAACACTTTTTAAAGCCTTTCTTTTGCTACCGGTTGCTTGTTTTGAGCTGACCTCTATAGATTTCATAGTTGCAATTTAAAAAAATATTATTTAATTAACGCCCTTCGTTTGTATGCACTGTAACTCCCATTTGTATGCATACAATTCACTCAGTCTGTGGTCTATAGCTGGCAAATAACACCACTTAACAGCTGTTAAATAGGGTAATCACCTGTTGTTATCCACAGGTAGCTTTAATTCAAATGCTAATTGCTCTCAGTGCTCTACTTATAAACCTGCCCCAGTGTCAGCTGCTGTCTGTGCGACACCAGATGGATGGGAGCCTCCAAAGGATCACACTGTCCCTCTGCAGGAAAAAGGCCTGAGTTATAAAAAACCTTGCTACCCTACAGTGGCATGAAAAAAAAAAGAAAGACGGCACAAAAATTAAACAGTGAAGGTCTTTCAGAGAGCAAGAATTGCAGAAAAAAAAGCAAAGAATGAGGAAAATTAAGAAAAGGACTGGAGATGGGACATTAAATATTGTATGAGCTGGTGTTTCAGCCTATTTACAATCGAAATGAGTTACCATTCACCATTAGTAAACTCAGTGTGACAAAATTCAGAAACAGCTGTTGCAGATGTATGCCAGGGTCAGCCTAAACTGATAGGGAATAGGAGCTAAACTGCTTCAACAGGTCAAGTGTTTGTAAAAATCCCCCTGGGAAAAATAAAATTCCTAGCCTGATACAGGAAAATTCTTATTTTTCCAGAGACTTAATTTTTCACAAAAAAAAAATCACTTAATGTTTCTCCTTTTGCTAGAAATGCCCCAGAACTACACTGTACTACTTACTCCTCATAGCAAGAGGTTTCAAATTATTTTTTTCCTAAATTATCTCCAATTCACCCAAGCTCTCTGGAGGTTCTGTTTCATGTTGTGCTTAATTTCACCGAACTGTGCGTTGCTGCCAAAAGTGATGGTTTAATTCTGTCTCCTTTCCCCTCTTAACTGTATTGATGTGTTCCTCACCCTTTCCTCATATTAGATTGAGTCATTCGGTGTGTTGCTCGAATATATGACTCACTGATCCGATGGGAAAGTAATTTTTTGGAGGAGAGATACACGTGTGAGAGTCCACAGTCAGATGGGATTAAGCCTGGTGTGGAACAGTGCCCTGAATTGTCCTGTGTTTCTTGCTGCTGTACAGTGAAGTTCCTGGCTGCACAGCTGTAGTTTTATTTTAGATCCCCCGACTGTAAAAGGGCCATTCATTCCGTAATGCTGTCGGATTTTCACACTGCACTGGAATGACCTTCCCCGCCCTGCTCTCTGAAGGGCTGCTTTTTTCTAGGGGAACGAAACCATCCATCAGTTGCCCAATAGCAGAACCTCTCTGCTCAGCTTCTACCCTTTGATCTGTTCATCTTAGATAATTCTGGGTGCCAAAACTCCAACCCAAACAGCCCCGGGCTCAGGAGGATGAGTGTCTTTCCACTGGGACACAGTGGTGATCTCAGGAAATGACTGTTAACGCAAGGCTACATTTTCCTGCCCTCAACATATTTTTCAATTAAATAGGAGATAAACAACACCAGAGGTGAAACCTGGCTCTGAGGAAGGAATCAAAGCCTACAAAAATCACATATTAGATCTGCAACAGGTACAGGCACAGGTTTCAGGTTTGGTCTGAGCTCACTATATTGATTAGAGCTCTGGCCTTGGAGAAAGGAGCTGCTCAAAATTTCAGAACACTAACCTTAGATTAAAAAATGTCTATTAGATATTGCCCTGGTTCTCTGATATCTTGTGCTAATGATGAGGTGAGAGAGGGATGAACATCTATTAAACTTAAATGACTTTATCTCTTGGTGTCCTGCTTTAGGGTCTTAATTGAACTGAACAGCCAGTAGTAACCACCACTTGTCTGTGAATGTTCATTTTAGGAAAGTCAATTATTTCAATCATCAAGAACTGCTTGATTGACAGTTTTATGACTCATATTAACATACATTTAACTTTGATGACTGCTTTTTATTTTGTTTTGCTTGTTTGGCCTACAGGGAGAGAATAAAATGAAATATTTGTAAAAGGATGCAGAGTTCGTGCTTTGATAGACTTTTATAACCTCTTAATAGAAAGCTGTAAGCAGGCCTGCTTTACCTGTTTGAAAACTACATTATGTCTGATTCTCTTTCAGACTGTGAGTAGAAAAATAAAGCTGCAAAATATAGTTGTAAAGTTGCAAATAAAAATAGTAATTTGTAAAATTCTATGTTAAATATGAAAATAAATATAATATTTATTCAATCTTGCATAAAAAAAAACAAATCAAAGAAGCTAAGTAAGTATTTGAATACTACACTTTCCTTTTTAAGTCAAAATCAATCCACATTTACTTTTACTTTCGATCAGGAATTGAAAACCAATTGGTCAAATTATTTCTTTCATTTCACACTGACAGTATGACCAAAAGGGAAGAATTCAAGCTACTTAAAATGGGCTTTTTTTGTCACTTCTCAAAGAAAAAAATGCACATAAATTAATAATTAACCTGTTTTTAATTCCATCCCAGAGATCATAGGTCAAGATATCATTAAGCACATTTCATTCTGAAACGATGGAATTGCACAATTTACTCTTCTGTCAGGTTCTACCAAAAGATTAAAGATGGCTTGATGTGAAGATATGCAGCGATGGGAAAACTTAACCCTCTGGGATTGAGCCACAGCTCTTAAATCCTGAAGTCACAGCTCATTTTCTTATGAGTCACAAAAGGCCAATGCTATAATTTGTATCACTGCACAATTCAGGAGTCTTACTCATATCCTTTTTCTCCCACAGTTTAAGTTCAATGACTACTTTTGCTAAGTATATACACCCAGAATAATTCCTTCAGGACCAAAGCTCACCTGAAGAACCCAATCTATTTGAAAGTTTATTGGTGGTAATTTTAATTCCAGTAAACTTCATCATGCACAATGTGACATAATAATTAAGCAACTGAGATAATTTTGGGTACCTCCAGACCCATATTTTATTTCCCTAGAAGTAAATAAAGAAGAGGGCACCAACTCTTAACAAAAACTGAGAGAGAGGAAAGACCAGAAAGTTGCTGTTTCAAAGCAGGCTTCTCTCAGATCCTCTCTTTTATGTTACCATTGAGAGAATCACAAATTTGCACCTACCAGGTTCAGTGTAGTCCTGGAAAGACCTGTGGAGTGCAGAGCATGAAGCCACCTTTAAACAGGGAAGAGATGTCCACCTCAGCCCAGACAGTGCTGATCCTCTGTGGCAAGGAGGTCATGGACACAGATGTTGGGTCTGGTCAAGCTGTTACTTCTTTTCCATTTATCTCTATATTTGCAGAGTGCCTATATGAAATTGAAAGATGAATTAAATACATACATAGGCAGGTAAAACTTTTGAAAGCTCTATACTGATATTCCCTGACACAAGTAGGCTGATAGAAGCTGTTTGTTACAAACAACTGTCAGGAGTAGGTAGGCCTAAACTTCTATAGATCTCCTGCTAACAGGCTAGAAACTGTCTCTGCTTTAAAAGACCACTCTTCTCTGGCTCTCTGCTTCACAACTTTTGCTGAAAACAGAGTTGTATAAAATCCTGTATTTTTTGTCAAGAGATAAACAAAAATCTAGCAATAGCTTTTCCTCATATAACACCTCCTGGAATAGAGGCAAGCCCCTCTTACTCAAGACAGTACCTAATTTTCCAGGTAGCCTTTAATATTGATGTTTACAGGTCATGAGTCTCCTTTAACAAGCAATAATGAATTACAACAGTGATCTGTGCCACAGGCAAGCATGTATGTGCAAACCATCCCAGGAATCACACACAGGATGCAAGTGTCCAACACATAGAGCTCTCACCTCTCCAAACACTGCACTGCAGCAGTGTGTGCAGCTACAATCTGAATCAGAACCAGGTGCTAAACTTAGGTTAAATCGATTCAGTTATTAAACCTTTGCAGCACTTTCCAAAGCCTGGAGTCACTACCCTAAACACTCTTCGCACTCACTCTTTAAAATAAAACTTCAAAACTACCACACACCAAAGAGTGAATTATGTTTGCAGGTTGGAATAAACCAGGGAGTGGAGGATTCCTTCTTTTTTTTTAGATGACGGACTTAAACTATTATTAATCTGCAAGCATGAACAAACACTTCTAGTCCCTCAATCAACTGAGGACTTATTAACTGTCAAAATATTAACAGGCATACCTGATACATTTTACTGAGGGCAATTGCTGATAAGTGCTCATGCAATAAGACGTTCAAGGAGACAGGTGAATCTGGGCATGTCTGTCAAATATACTGGCAAATGAAATATTAAAGAAATCAATCACATTTTAATCTACAGGCACAGAATCTTTGGAGTATGAAAGTAAAAATTGGTTCCCTTCCCTCTGTCTTGTAGAAAGTTGCTTAATTTGCACTATACATGACCAGAGGTTTTGAAAAGTTTTTACAAAACAAGCAGGTTTTTCCCTTTTTACAAAATTATGTAACTTTTCCAATTCAGATTTCCCCTGAGTTTTTACCTCTTTCAAAACTGTGTGGCTCCACAGACTGAGACAGCATGATGAGTTACCCGGCAGCAGAACACCAGTTTTGTGTGTATTGTTTATGATTTTCTATCCAGATTAGAAGGTTCTTATCAAAAAATATGTAGAAATTACAACCTGGGCATTTAAAATTTAGAGAGATTGGACCAATAGGGGATATTCCTTCCAGGATAAGACTATTGGGGTAGAATGAATCTTTTTTGTGCTACAATAGGGAAGAAAAAAAAAAAAAAGCTATATGAACTGCACTTGTAAAAATTTCTTACTTAAGAAGAATTATAATTCCAGAGATGTGCTCCAACAATGCAAGTCTCTCACACCACGTTCTTCCTCTTCTGTGGCAGGAAACTCCATTTCTATTACTATCAGATGGTCAAAATTTATCAGGCTGCATAGACCACCGTGCATCATCTCATTGCCTGTGAAAGCTGCATCATCAACGCCAGCATTTAACACTGTCCATTATCCCACCTGTGTTATGCTCTCCTATCCTTGTAGCAGCCCCTTAATTAATTATCTACAAGAATCCATCCAAAAAATCATCAACTAAATGAAATAATTACTGTTGAAATTTAGGAATTAAAAAACTTGAAGTTTTTTATTAAAAAGTTACCAAACGACATATTATTCCTCTACAACCTCTTTCTTACATTTTAAGATTAGCTGAAGCATTTTCCCACAATTTTTAAAAGACATCTAGTTGTAATACATTAATTACTACAACTTATTCTAAATTCTGGCATGAATTTAAATTCTGATCATGGAATTATGATATTTCAGTTAATTCTGCCATGAATTAATGTGTGGTACTTCTCAATTCATCAAGAGCAAAACTTAATTTCCTTTAAGTAGCATTTCTTTCTATTCCTCAGGAAAAGTTCTGATTCTATTGAAGTTAAAATACTGATGGAAATTAAATTATCCTGTGAATAAAATCAATATTGCATTTCTCTAAGGAGGAATAAGCGCATATTTAACATTAATCACCAGATAAAGACATAAGAGATAAATAAAGTGTGAGTCAAAAATGAGATCTTTTCTCCAGCAATAGGGACTTGATTAAATAGGTCAAGAAGTCATGAAAAATAATTATTGCTTCTCTGTTTGTGATAACCACTTTTAAATGGGAATTTGTTGCCTGTTTTCCCTTCAGTTACAAAAAAATTAAACACAAGTAATATTTTAATTCTTTTTTTTTTTTTCTTTTTTGCATTGTGCAGAGGAAAAGCACTGAACAAGGAGACTGTTATTAATTTTGAAATAAAATCAATGATCTATGGGTAGTCTTGTACTTCTGTTACAAAAGATAATTCTCATGAACTATCATTGGAATAAAGCAGAAAATGTTTGGGTTAGAAGTCAAAAGAAAAAATATAACCCTGATATAAATGCTGTCATAAAAATGTAGTACATTTGTGTTACTGTCTGCCTCCATTAAACTCTTTGCCACCGATAAAATTTGTCAGAGAATTATAAAATTTCATATTCTTCCCTTTCCAAAACAATCTGTTAATACGTCAAGTTACAATCTTACCGTAATAATCTACTTTAATTATTCTCTCTTAGGTACAGTCTGGCTGGTGTGTGAATGATGAATCACACAGGCTTCAGGCTTGCTCATTAGTATTTAATTTAAGGGAAAGGGCTCAAATTAGTTTCTTTTAAGTGAGGGTATATTTGTGGAATGAAGTTCCAAAGCCGTATGTCCTTCACACTAGATGAAGAAGGCTGTACCACAGTGCCTACCTGCACATATCCATTTATATGTCTAAAATTATACACATGCAGACACCCTAGGCTCCCTGCTTAAATGGAATCAGGGCTCATATTCTGTTGCTTTTCAGTATCCAGTAAAGCAACTGGAAATGCTTTGTGTGAAAAACTTCTGCACAAAAAAATCCGTGAACCACAACGTAAATTATAAATTTTTTCAATAAGAAGTTTGAAATGAAATCCATTGTTTTAAAATGCTAATTCAAAGCAGACATGCTAGCTTTAAACAACAGGTTCGCTCCCATTGCAATTTTATTCTTATATTACCAAGGATTTTTTTTCTATGTCTTTTTAATATCTAAAAATTTTTCTTTGCTTGCTAAGAAAACTAATTTCAAGATGTCAGCAATTCCTAAAGTGGAAGGATCTCTGTTTCTAAAGAAGATTGAAATATTTCAATGTTTTCTGCACTGAAACCAGAAGAATTCTGGCCTATATTTTACAGCTATCCAACAAGTCCAGTTGCTGTAAGAACAGAACCAAACACACAAACAATATGATGTACATGTGTTCAGAGGTACCATAATAGGATAAAACTGATTACATTTCCAAGGAAGACCCTCCAAAACCTTGAGGAGTAGGATTTGAGTCTCATCTGCAGAAATGTTAGTCCTTTTTTTAGCCAGAAATGGGCCTTAAGTTTAGGTCTGAATATCCACATTCTAATTCCATTACAGGGTGCTTTTTTCTCTATTTGGAGTCTTTCAGAACACCAACTGCTAACTGCCCCCGCTCTCCAACAACCCAAATAGCTTGATTTTACCCTTCTCTAGGGAAAGCTTAAGGATGAACAATACTGAACTTGATTGTGTTTTGAGTTTAGTCCTCCTTAAATTGTACAAGTTCCATACTCAGGTGAAAATCGGTTCTCTGAAATGATCTTGCTGCAATAAAAAAGACTAGACGGATATTTAGCTGGTGGAATATTAGAAGAATTATGTCAGTTCACCGCTGTAAAGTCCCATCACTGTCATGTAAGTCCTTGACAGATTGCCCTCAGCAGTGTTTAACAAGGAAGGAGTCAGAAATCAATGATTGCACAAAAAAAGTTGGGGCAATTTATGTAACGATAGTGAGAAATGCCATATAATACATGTAAGGGCTATCAGTCATCATTTACTAGAGGTAACAAAAGAGATTGAGTGTAGTTGTTTTCATATACAGAAATCACACCAAAATAGAGGCAGCCATTTATATATTCTCAGAATATTAAACTTTAAGGTCACTGGCTTTTCATTTGTAGCAATCTTCTGTTAAGTCTAAAAGAGGATGTGTAATTGTTTGCTTGGATAAAGTCAACATTTACCATTAAGATTACAAAGAACTGCTGCTGTATTTTGGATTAGGCTGTCATGCAAGTGATGTCAAAGCAGGTCTTTTAAAACTCGGATTATCACCTGGATTTATCTGGATTTATCACCCTTGCACAATTAAGATTTAAAAGCGAAATTACAAAAGCCAAGCCAAAGGAGTCAAAGACAGCCCCAAAGGCTTCAGATAGCTAATCCTTCGTGTTGCTCTTGCTCAAATGCCTTGTATCACTTAACGCCTTTCCACATCTGAGTGCAGTTAGAAGATTTAACTCAACTGAATACACAGTGAGGATCTGCACTACACAGAGCACAGCCTGCCTGAATACTGCTCCCTTTGTCCCATCCCTTTGTCTGAAGAGGCAGCTCCCTCAGCTGGCGTGAAGTGTTCCAGAGAGCACAACCCATTTCATGCAACTCCACGGTGAAGAGAGGCCAGGAGGCCAGGGGGTTAACATCTGCTATAAATACCACAGGACTTCTTGGCCTGAATTGCAGAATGAGGTTGCTTGACGTTTCTACACTGCACCGGGCTGTCTCACCCTGGGCCTTACTGCACAACACAAGGCAGAGTAAAGGGTCGGACACATCAAAGGAATAATGCACTTGGATTTCTCACAGCAGAAATACACTGTGGAAGCCTGCACATATGAGAAACAAGTATTCCAAACCACCAGAATCTTAAAGCACGCTGAGTTCCAATTCTTATTCAGCTCTTCAGCTGAAGGTCTGAATTGTACACTAAGATAGAGATTTTATTAAGGTATATATATAGATATCATCTAAAGCAACAGACTGCGAAAAAAGGCAGTAAAAGATCAATTTTTGATTTGGGTATTGAGGTCATAGCCTGCTCCTATTCCATTAAAGAATGTTTTTTTACTGAGTTCAGTGGAGCAAGGAGAAGACTAACAGTTACTGCTAAATGGATGTTCAACTGGCAGCCTTTGCGGCGCTTTGAACAGTTATTGCAGAGTGGCAGATCGCTGAAAGGCTCTGACCTCCTCTGCAAGCAGCTGTCAGCACAGCAAAACTTGAAAGCTTTTTCATATGCCTTTCTCACATATTTGGTAAATGCAGTATAGGAAACCAACCTTAATGTTCCCCGTGCATGGATTTTTATTCGAGGTTTTGATCTAAACAGAATAGGAGAGATGCTTACTGAAATAGCTGAAGGCTGGTTTAAACTATTTCCACTAATCGCTAATTGTCTATCCATTAAATTTGAAAAACAAACAAACAAACAAACAAACCCCAAAACCCATGAGGAAGTTACAACAATTAAGTTGGAAGGACAAGGAATAGTAGATACAACAGATAATCCCTGCAAGTGTTCAAGGACAGGCTGAATGCAGCTCTGAGCAGCATGATACAGTGGGTGGCATCCCTGCCCATGACAGGGTGCTTAGAACTAGATTACCTTCAAGGTCCCTTCGAATTCAAGCCTTTCTATGATTCTGTGATTCTGTGATAATGATACTCCTGAAGCAAATATCAGAATCGGACAAGATCATCTAGAGCAATATGAAGATAGTGTGTAACGTAAGTTAACTTAAGGTCAGACTTTGGTCTCACATTGATATATCAGTTTAAATAATCTCAGTTGCACATGTTTAGCCTCAGAATTATTGTTATACAGAACCAGTGAAAAGCTGAAAAAACCTGT